GCATCCGCATCTGCCTCTGCGTTCGTTCTTACCTTCTCGTCTTCGAATTTGTCTTCTTTGTTATTTTGTCTTGAGGAAATTATCAGATTTTCTTTGCCTCTGTTTGGATTTTTTTTGATTATGTCATTCGTGTTGTCATCATCGTCTTTTATTTCCAACCCATGTGATAGATTTATTTGTTTGAAAATTTCAAATGTTCTGCACTGATCAACGTCAGCGTGTATTTTGTATTCCTTTTCTGTGGCTTCTTTGTTTAGCTTCGCTTCACTAGAACAGGAGTTTCTATACGCCCACTTAGGTGCTCCCCATCTTTCATCTTTATTTTTACTAGGTCTGTCATTACCCAGATTTAGGTCATCAATCGCGCCGCTATCCGGTGACTTAACCTGACCCACTGACTCTCGTTCCCTTGCTCGAACAGAATCAGACTTAGGCTAAACAAATGCATGGGTCCAGCAAAGGAGCCATTTACAGATATCATAAATAATCACACAATTTGACAAAGCAAGCACAGTGTATGGGATTAGCAAGCAAATACGCAAAATACAAAGAAAATACCGCGTTTGAGGATTATTTGGGTAAGACAGAAAAAGAAGATAAACAGAAAGATTAGTTTAGAAACGGTTGCGCTAAACAATAAAAGCATGGATTATCGAAATGCACCAATCGGTGTAGGGAAGTGACTTACCGACCGTCGAGGAGAATCGCAAACGTTCTGCCCTGTTTCCAAAGACTGAATTGGTTTTCCTTCTTGAATTAGGTCAACTTTTCCTTGATTCCTCAAGACTTCAATTGGTTGATCGTCCCTCTCTCTACTTTTAACCTCCTTTTGGGTCTCCGGGAGATCATCTTTTGCCTGGTTCGGGTCATGAGATGCGAGCTGGTCGTTAAAAGTCCTGTTTCTTGGTAACTCTTCACCTTTTTGAGGGGATTTAGACCCAGGATCTTCGAAAGAGTTGGATTCAGGGATCAATAAATCATCAAAATTTGCGGGAGGTTGGAATTGCTGTTGCTGTTCCACGAGGTCGCATTGCCTCTCATTTGATAGATCGCCCGTTTCACCCATTCGTAGAAAAAGCCTATTTTCTTCCAAAATCTCTCCACTTTTGTCCTTCTTCTTAAGATTTGTGCCCGTTGTAAGAGCTTTTTCTGGTTCCAGGGTTACGTTAGCACTCTCACCTATCTCTAGTGATTTGTTTTGCGTCTCTGAAGACGGTGGGCTGGATTCGAACTTGTCTTTAGCTGCGTTATAAGCCATTATGCCAGCAACTACAGGAGCTCCAACTGCAGCTGTTAACACACCTCCAATATTTGTCAGTACCTTCTTTACGTCGAAGCCCTTTTTAGCTTCCTTTGAGGTGTCCGCCAGATTAGCGACTGAAGATGGTGCATGTTTAGAAAGTGACTGTTGGTTTAAAGCAACAGCTCCTTGAGTAACAACGGAATTAATGGGTTCTCCCTTTGACATTTTATTAAGATTGTTTTCAGGACCTAAAAAACCCGATTCAAGAGGCTCTTCGGCATTTTGATCAGCCCCGGATATCACTGAAGATTCAATATGTCCAGCGTTCTTTATCAAATCAACTTCATATCTCAATTTATCATCCCGCAAAGTAGCAGAATCGCTACTTCCAGGCGGCTTTTGGCTTGTCGCCTCGGATAATTCCATAGTAGGATCTGCTACATGTTTCTGTTCATCCACCTTGTTGACAGAAATTGAAGAACCAGGCGCCTGCTTCTCACATTGGTCCGTTAACTCTGCCTTTCCTTCCTTCGTTTCCTGATTAGGCTCTTGTTTATTTTCGGTGGTTCCAAACTGCAAGCCGTCTTCAGCAATGGATGGAGTCTTTTCGACAAAGTGCTCTTGGGAATCTTCAACATTGAAATTTACAGAAGTATCTTCACTCGGATACATTGTTCCACCTTTCAACAGTATCCTTTCGCATTTTGCTTCATCCTCAGAGTCAACTGAATGCAAATGATCTTGGGCTATAGGCGAAGACTTGACGGTGGAATACTTTTCTGGATCACTGGTCTTCTCTTTACCTTCTCCATTCGCTTCCCATCCTTCTGTTGATGGAGAAGTTCGCTTTAGCTCCATCCCGTGCTCCCTGGATGAGGGTGTGGAATAACCTTGTTCTTCCAAAGGGGATCGCTCTTCACCGTTTGTCTCAGGAACCTCCATACTGGCCAAGTGAGAAGGCCGTGATAGATCTTCGTCCTGATCTATAAACTCCATCCCCTCAATACTAGTTCCCAAATTCTCCCTTTCATCATTTTCTCCTATTTTTTGGACATCATGTCCAGATCTTTGTCCATCCTCAGCACTAATTGAGTGCGAGACATCTTGTGTTCCAAAAATACTATTTTCGGCAGAAATTAAAGATCTGGGTAAATTTTCGTCATTTCGATCCAGAAATATTGTCCCTTCATTGGCTGTCCCCAAGTTGTCCATTGGCATTTGACTAATTTCTGATCTCAATGCATCATCAGTATCCACAGGACTTATTTCATTGTCCGTTTCAAAAGCAGTCTTTTCGTCATAACGCCGTTGCAATTCTTTGCCGTCAGCTGGAACAGAAGACCCGGATATGTCTGTACTCCTCGATTTTGCGTCTTCAACATCATCATTCACAAGTTTAGTCTCGTCATCCCTTTTCGCCGCATCGTCAGTGCTGATTTTATCGCCATTTGGAACAAAAAGCCTTTTGGATTCTTCAGAGGATTTAGTTGTAGTATCTGCATAAATAGGACCAGAGGCAATAAGATTTTCTTCGACTGTAGGAGACTGAATTTGGCTGTGAGAAGCATTACCACGCTTAATCTTTTCCTTGATTGACTGGTAAGCCAGTGTACCACCAACACCAGCAGCACCGAGTGCAACAGCAAGGCCTGTTCCCACTTTAGCCGCGGCATCGGCCAAATCGGATCGCAACTTTTTGGTGTCAAGGCCGATTTTTTCATGTTTTTTAGCATTTTCCATAGCTTCATCAAATATCTTTCCCCTGGCTTTGCCCTTGCCTTCAAGAGGATACTCCTCTTCGATGAGAAATCTCTCATCATTTACTTCCTGACCTTTAGACGTATTCGTGACCTGGAGTTCCCCTGTCATAGGAGTCATGGCAAAACTGCCATCCGTCACGGGCGACAGAGGAGTGGATTGATTTTGTCCAGAGCATGCCTGTGTTGATGGTTCCTGACTGTCTTCCAAACAGGCCAACTGTACTATATAGGGCACATTAATGGGTTCCCCACTTTTCAAGATGACATTAAGTGTGGAAGTCTGATGGGTGACGGGGTCTCTAATAACTGTTCGATCGGCATCAATCAAACCTGCGCTGACGGCTTCCTTTAGAAGGAGACGATGCCCAGTGTAAGGATCATTTACAAACCCAGTTTGTCTGTCAACCCAACTAAGACTAACAGCGGTTTTGAGATCCACAGGGGTAACAAGAATAGGTGATGGTATTGAATCGACTGAAGTCTTAACAGTTACGTGAGGTGGTGGATGAGTTACACCACCACTGTCGTCAATATCCTCCTGTAGTTCAATACACAATGAACGATTGAAAAGCAGCTCATTTACAACATTCTCCGGATTCGATGGGATTAATTTATCCACTGGAAGATACTCCTGCGATGTTCTAAAATAAATAACTGTTCTTTGCCCACACAGAGGTCCTTCAAGAAAGGCATTTAGAATTGAGACATAGTTTTCGATCTGTGGATTGAAAACTGTTCTACTCTGAGGGTTGATCAAATGAAGACTTTGAGCCGCAGCGTAAGGAATCCTCTGACCACGATTCACTCTTTTGCGACCGAAAGGCTCCACCTCTTCGGGCAGCAAAATGGTAGCCATTGGCCAATGCACCCAAACTTCTATAGGGGTAGTCCCATCATTCAAATAGTGCGCTACACTTCTGTAGTACCCTGTTCGTTCATCCTGAACTAGAGAGATCTCTTCGTCAATTATCTTCAGTTCAATAGCCTCCTTCAGAGTGATTCGTTGCATCGTTTGAGTTGTGATGATCCCCGTCGATGGGTCGAAACGTCCTGCCTGAATGGCTCGTGCAAGGCTCATTTTTTCGCCTGACAACTTCTCATTTGGTTGTTCGCCTTTCTTTTGTTTTAGTTTCAGAGTAAGTTTTGCTAAACTCATCTTTTTATCCCCCTTTGTGTGTTTTATTCCATGATGTACTATGATAGACTGAAGGCGCGAGTAGTCTTCCGGTGAGATATTCTCAGACACCTCACCATCAGCTGCATTCGCGTTATTTGTCATAAGAATCTTCAATAGCTCATTTTTCCAATCCGCCTCCGATACAAACCTTTTGGCCCTCGCTATGGTGTTAGCAGCCTCTAAAACACGTGCAAGGGAATAATAACGAGTTCCAGAGTTGCTAGCGTCCAAGCCACCACCACCGATTCGAACAATGATGGAGTTAGGGTCCACAAATCTCTGTTCTACAGCTTCAATGAGGTTCACTTGGGAGACAGAACCACAGGCACTTCTAAGGCCACCGCTGTGGGAATCGATCCAACCGCGTCGGAGGGCCGTGGCCAGACTCAACCGGTGGGCCGGTTGGGGTTCACGACGAGTTACCTCAATAGTAGGAATGTTTTGTGATACAAGACGCCGGACCAGAGGCAGTTTGATTGCCGAAATCGCTGTTCCATCGGTCATTGTGACGGGCGCAAGGTTACCCAGGAGATGTAAATCAAGAGGTAGTTTGGAGTTTTTGACCACGACCTGTGCAAAACGGAAAACAAGTACGAACTGAATTCAGTGAAATATCCTGCTCAGGTAAACTTTGGCAATATTTTAATCAGAAAGTAAGAGATATAAGAAACGTTCCCAAAATGTAAGAAGATTTTCTAAGTGGATAAGAGTTAGATATTTTGCTTTTACTAGCTAAATACCTACATTTGCGTATCCAGATTTAACGGTCTCTTCCTGTTGAACAAACAAGTCTACTTTTTGCTTGAATGCAACATTCGATGACCGAACGGCGAAGTCGCCTTCTACGGTGCGATAGTGAATGAAATCAAAAGGTCGAGTAGCAAGATCTTCACAGGGTGGACGCAGTTGTGGAACAACTCGGATCAAGCCCTGCTGATGCGCGTCCTCAAGAGTGATGGTTTCTTCCGTTCCCGTGTGGTGATAAAGCCCGTGGACAGGGTCTATGAGGTTTGAAGCCAGTGCTTCTTCCACTGGAATCAATGTCTTTGCGTTGACATCGAAGATTCCCTCCACGAGGTAGACGTCATGCCTCTTGTGAAAGATCTCAAGCCAGTAAGTCGTCTCACCAGTCTGTTTAACCTCCAATTTTGTAAAGATAAGGCCAACTATGACACTCTTTTCCAACGCTTCTCCGGCTGTGATCATGGCCCCGGAATCTGAGTCATAAACGAGGTTTCGTTGGACGTCCACTCGACCCTCACGAATCATCGTTCTTGTGATGGCTGTCTCCACACGAAGGGACTGTTTCGGTGAGGTGAGGTAGAAGCCCGAAACCACACAGTATCGCGTAGGCTTGCGTGTTAGAGGTCTGCGCTTCATTTGACTCTGATCCAAAGGCACTGAAGGTGAGATCTTTCTTCGTCTGCGACGACGAGATCCACCAGTCACAAAGTAGTCTCCCACGTCGTTGGAAGTTGACAGGAGAGACCGTGTGCTCCCCGTCGATCGATGGGAAGAGATTGTGTTGTAGGCACTTTGAACCTCCACCGCTTCATCAGTCTGGAGAGTTAAAAGATAAGTGAATAAATTTTTAACATGTGGTACCCTTGGCTTTGTGAAGAATGCAAGAGCTTGAACCACTGCTGTATGCTAAACTTACCGCATTTCCGATCACTGCCAGGTTATCATCGATTTTGCTCTTCAGCGCTTGGAATTGCGTGTTTAGATTAGCCACAGAAGTCCCCAGAGAAACGAGATCTATTACCCCAATACCAGGTGGTCCAACAAATCGTGTGCTGGCGGTTTCCATGGCGGCGAAAGTAAGACAGCTGACCGCGCGTTTGTAAGCATCCCCTCCACCTGCCGAGTCCTGCAAACAGAAATCTTGCTTACTGGCATATGCCTTAAGTGAAGTTGATTTAGGGATAAAAATGGCCCTTGAATTGTTACCTTGTCTGGATCGTAAAAGGATGGCCTAATGCCTGTATTGTGTACCGTATTTGGAGGGGAATGAAGCTATTGGGTAATCGGACATGAGATTCACAACTTTTGATGTCCAATACGTCTCGTTTTAAGTAAAATGAAAAACGCTGAAGTCCTTCCTTTTAGCATGATATTTATAGGTATTTTTGAAAGAATTTGCGGATTTTCAGTGGACAAAGATACAAACTATGGAAATGCGCAACGTAATCATCAGTGAGTATAATTTAACGAGCTACGCCAATGGTCCGAACTAAGATCAAGGCGGGTAAGAACTAACAGAAAGTAGCCCAGGCAGATGTGAATGCACATCAAACGCGCACGAATTGCCAGCTATGTTTGAATTGCGACACTACAACAGCAATTGTTGAAATAAAGAAATAAGGTAGAATTTACTACCAACTATATAATCATCTCGTACTTAAAGTGTTTGCACTGGGAAGTCCAGGGGACAATCAACCACTGCAATCCGGGTGTTTTACCATTCTTAGACATCTGCTCTAATGCTGCAAATCTGATCAATTTGTTCAGGTCACGACTAGGCATAAACAGTTAACATAGCCTGATAACGAAAACATCTGTGAAGTGAGGCTTGGATAACGAAAGCGGGGCCTTACATTCAGGACGCTGATGGAACATGCACCTAGATACCGAGGTGATGATATCAAAATGCACATTGTTTAAACTGTAAACAATGAATTGTTTTTAGGAAGCTCCTCGTGAGATAATAGCTTCGCACTAAAAATGCTTTACGGTTAAACAATGGAACTGGCCCAATATTTACGAGCCATAGCTGTTCGAGATCAAAGTTTGTGAATCACTGTTCCGTTGCTTATAAGAATACAGGTTAGGCACGCACGCCTTACCTCTAGTGAGCGGGCTAAAAATTCGCAGGTTTGATTGAGCTCCTTCAACTTGGCTTCGCAGTGCACGGCTTCGGCTGAAGCGCGCTCCAGATTCCTCGCGGCAGTACTGGAGGCGAGATTCCCATGAGATCTGTTCTTGAGTCGCATTTCCACGGCTTCAACAAGGTCTGATGTCTCCCTCAGCCATAGAGTCAAACCTCGTCGCAAAGTGATTGCCGTTTTGTAGTTTTGAGATATTTTCACTAATTCCTGGTTCCTGAAGGAGCGATGAAGAGATCTCTTTTACCGTGTCTACGACGGTCCTAATACCATGGTCACGTTAAAGTGAAAGATGCTCTTTGACTATGACTTCATTTTGTTTAGGTGAATAAGTTCACACAGTTATCACTGTTCTCAAACTGCATCTCTCAGGCTCAGAATGCAATGCCTAACAACTGTGCCATTTCTTTGGCAGGGGCTTCTCATTTGCAATCAAATAATATCAAAAAAATTACCACTCGTCTCAAGGAGAGCTTACATCAAGTCTATCTGATTAATCAGATTGCCCAATCGTCTATTGACAGAAAAGATGGACTTCTCCAAAAGTGACGTATTTGGAGGTGGAAGACGGTGATTGCCCGCACTGGTACCTTTGGTGACGCCTTGTGTCGACAGAGCGGTAAGATGATGAGGCAACTGTTCAAGCATTTTTCGCAACCCACCCAGCGCCAGTGTCACATTCTAGGAGGTCACAAATAAATGCTGTTTAAATTCACCCTCACTTTGTAGGCAGTATTGCCACTTCGTCAATGCCACCCTAGCAAAAACATTTAGCAAACTGCCTTATACCTGAATACATTGCGACTATTTTAGCTTGTCGGATTGCCTCATGGCTTACCGTTTTAGTTTTTGAAAAGAAGGCTAATCGAGCAAATAAGAATGGAGTGTTCTACTACTCATAGTCTTGTTGTGCAGCATTATGATCATCTATTCCAATTAATCACTCGGTTACAGCAGGAAATTGACTACTGCAACCAAGTGAAGTTTCTCAGTCGTTACGTATTCACCAAACCTATAAAGCATAGAAACCTATGGAAAATACTCTATTCTTATTCCTACTGTCTAGACGTATCTAGTACTGGCGGTACAAAAAATATCACGAGTTGAGGTCAAATTTGTCACTTGCGTTCATTTAGTGCTGCACTTCCTGTTCTTAGTATAAAGTAACACTAATTCATATTCAAAAAATCACATCTAAATCACCGGTAGTTGTCTTTACAAAAGTGTACTGTTAATTCTGTCACCATTTTCAAGCGCCTCAAATGCCATTTAGCCCTGTTGGACTGGCAATAATCCATCAGGCTGGAATGAATGTCTATTTTTGATTCTAGTGCCCAATTCTTTTGCACTGATATAATAAAAACATACACTGTCATTTCTCTCTTGATTACGCCATCTAGATTTAATCAGATGCCACCGCACTGACAGCGCCTGTTTTCAATTATTCATGCCACATTGTAGTGGAGGTCTGAAGTGAAGGGTTTTGACTTGTCAACAGGCGAGACTATAACAACGTGCAATAGAAGAATCCAGCAAAGAATACGGTGGCTCGTGATAACTCTGTCCTACTCTTAGACTACACCCTGATCAAGCAATTCAGAGTATGTACATCGAAGATTAACTCATGCGTCGTATTTTAGGAACTAGTGTGTGAAGATAGATGACTGAACTGTTTCGAATTTCGGCACTATGGTCTGTTTATCAGAAGTGTGAAATCCCTATTCTCGTACCTTTAACTGGTCATGAATATCCTGAACATTGTTGGCTTCCATTTCAGAGACATCGCTGCGTAATGAGGACTTGGAACTTGAGAGATTCTGTTGCGGTGAATGGATCCGAGCGGCAATTCCCACCACTTTCAGCTCGGCCCCAGCCAGTTCGCGCTGGAGACTGTCGAGACGCGTGAGGATCGCGTCCACTTCGGCTAAGCGGTGAGCAGTCGCCTTCCCCGCATTGGTCAGTTCATTCGCCGCGGCCAGCAATGCAGCACAACCCGACTTGTCAATGGTCGACCCTCTGGACGCTGACCCCTGCTCGTCCGGCATGCGTTCCAAGTGATCTCTAATTTGATTCACGGATCGAGACCACTCCTAGGTGTAAAATTAATGTAAAATTAACCAATATGAGGGCCAAGCATCAAACATTGAATTGACGCAAAAGTGGACTCACTTTGTGCTCCTTCAGCACAACCTCCAAAGTGGATAACTGATTGGGGAGTACCTGCCCGGTTCTCTTCCTTAGATGATCAGCTAACGCGTTGAGTGTGGTCTCAATGCGTTTGAGATCGGTGGTTTCATTCTTTTCGATGGGATCTACTGCACTGCCATTCCCATTTGGCAAGGACTTGAAGCACTGCTCGCTCTCCTGCTGGAATACCTCAACTTCCTGGACCGGCTTATTCGCCAATCGCATTCCAACTAGGTGACGTTGAGTATCCTCATGCAGTTGCTATATCAACAGAGTTGGGGACAGGCTATTTGAGCATGCAACCTCAACATGGGCCCTTGGTTAATGAAATTCGACAAGATTACTTGATTGGTATATCCAGGACAAACATGCCTACTGAAAGCAAATAAAACCCTTAGCTAGGCTTTAAAGAGGTGTTGAAGTGAACTTGACCTTTATTTGTTATCTGGAGCTGTTTTAGAGGCTTTCTGCAGGTCATGTACTTGAAATATTCATGGAAATGCGACAAATTTTATCGCGCCGCTTGGATTTGATTTTAGAATAGTTAATTGTTGTCGCGCAGACAAAGGATGGCAAAAAATTTTTGCTTTGTACTCCATTACGTCGTCACCCTTCACAATGTTAGGCGGTCCACTGATCTAGCGGACTTGCATTCTGTCATGTGGAAACAAAATATGCTAGCATTTTTCCAGATTTTTTTGAATGAATAACATTCACACTTTAAGGAAGATTACTGAAATTTGCTCGAATTCGTTTTCATGATATATTTGATAAAAATACAAACTCAGGCATGCGTTTTACGAGTTTTAGTTACTGAATACCCCCAACTCAATCTTTTGCTCAAAATCATTTTAACAACTCCACAAAATGCAATAATTTTGAATGATCCTTACCCTAAACCCTGATACAAAACAAATTTAATATTTTCGAGTTATTTAACAGTTTCTCAAAGGGCAATTAAGTGTAAATATTAAAGTGAAATTCAGTGGGCATTTACCCGCATAAGTTGTTGCCCTTCGGCAGCTGAAAGATTGGGCAATGTTCCAGGCAGAGCTTGCATCGTAGCCCTCAATAAACGACCATGAAGATTCAGCTCTGTGTCGGCCCAGAGAACTTGCAGACGCTGAAAACGCGCGACCACATCCTGAGCCCTCGTTTTGGCTTCCAGACAGGGATGCGCCGGCAAGAAACAAACGGCTGGAGCTTCTATCTCCTCTCCGTTTGAGTGCCTTAACTGTAGGTAACAAGAAAAATACAAGGCATGAATTTTCTACCGACTTATCAGTGGTTCCGTCTGTTCATTTTGTTAGGAAAATCGTTTTACCTCCAGGGTAAATTCACTTGGTTTTGCGAAGATTGTCATTCGCTCGCCCTTTTTAAAGTTCCCAGATGGCCAAGTGATGATGGCTGGATCACTTTGTTCTGGAGCCAGTTCCATATAGTGAGGTTCACTGTTGGGTGCGAAGAAGCAGATGGAAATTACCGTCTCGTGAGGATCGTTTCGAAAGGCCAAATCAACAATTTCGTCACTCGTTTCGACCAACTTGTCCACAAGAAAACCTTGTCCTCTAATCACCTCGCCCATATCCTTCAGTAATTTGAAAAAAGCAATGAAATCGGCGCGTTAATAATATTCAGTCGAGTGGATAATGAAAGAGTTTTTAATGCTTACAGCAATCTTCTTCATAAATTCACTGGCAATTTCAACGGTGATATTCCCTGAGGCTGAAGTCAAATTCATGTCATTTATCTCTTTCATTTTGGTGGTAAGGAAGGTCTCAACTTCTTGTGCTTCGGTGAAGAACTGCTGGAACCTGACAGTTTGATCGAGACGGGTTTCAAGGCAGTGGGTCAATTGAAGTAGCCATGCCCAATGACTGTCCAGTGAGGTTAAGTAAGTCTGTAGGAGGAGACCGAGTACACTTTATGCCACGGGATATAGGAGATGGATACCAAGATAGACCGTTTGCTTTTTCTTTACCTTTAATTAAACACTTTGGTGGCAGCACGTATCCAAAACAAGCCAAAAATGTACCTCTTTGTGTTGATCCCGATTTCTCAGTTCTTAGCTAATGGAGATTCTGCACTTTAACCCATTTTAAGAGGAATGAAAACATGGTCTCCACTTTCTTATCCCAGCAGATGTCTGGGTGGCTAGCGCAAGTCTCGCATTCAATGTGGACAACCATTATTGCGATAGAAAGCGGGACTTTTTATAAACGAAAGGAAAAGTACTCACCTGAATTAAATCGAAAGACGGATGGCCCTCAAGGTGCAAAGAAGAGCCGAGGGTACTGATTTCGTTAAACTGGTGTTCCTGAGATTGAATTTCTCTAAGGAGACCCTAAATTCCACAAAACAAGTAAGTTAGACGGAAAGTCCGGGCTGAATTTCCGGCACAACAATAAGGAGTACGCCGAGGGGATGAGGCGTTGTTATTTATCCATACCCAAGTTAAGCCGAATATTGTTAAACCAAAGGAAGCATCGCCTTATAAAATATCTCATGCCATGACACGTCACTAACGCTATTTAAGTAACCAAAAGGGAAATTGGATTGTGCGTTTCTTTGTGCCCCTGTTCAGCCCCGAGCTATTCCGACCATAACTTTCCTGCTAATTTCCTTCCGTTCAGTTATCGGTGTGAAAGAGACACAAGAGGTGACAATTTTTTCTGTTTAAATTTTTCCACCATTCCAAAGAAGCACAATGCACATATACAACATTTGGTACTCACTTGAACGAGGTTAAAATTGGACTAGAAATAGAGGGGAAAGTAATTGTTCAAATAATCAGTAATAAATCATGAAGTGAGGGGAATGTTTATTATCTTCGGAAGAAACTGGCTTGAAAGTTGAGGATTACTCCACCGCTTTTCCTTGCCGAAATAGTGTAAGAGCAAGATGGAGAAACGATGATTAGAGAGAAGGGGGGAAAAGTTTTGAAAAGTTGTTTAAAGATGAGTGATTATTCGGCGTTTTTGGTGGTCCAGAATTGAAGTAGAATCATTCATGATCATTTCATGGACAGATTGGACAAAACTACGAGTGAACATGTAGACAGTTTGACCAGTTGGTCAACAGAGATAAATGCCTCTTTCTTGCCCGGTAAGGCACCCTACCATGTGCCGGTTGTACAAGTGAAAATCCCCTCAAACTGGAGAAAAGTAATTACTTGTTGCATTGTTAATTAGTGATGTAAATTCTTTCCATTTAAATTTATTTTAGAAGTTTCATATTCAGTTATCCGATCACAAAAAAGAAGTAGCGAAATACCCGGAAGAATTCGTAAATTTCATCCGACTTCAATTCGTGAGGGGAAGACCAGATACGCGTGACTTCAATGGTCTCCTTCTCTCGTAGCCACTGCATAGAGTTGCTGGCACGTTCAACGAAGACGAGGAGGGAACGACCGAACTCTAAGCGTCTCTTGGATTTTTTCTGAACCCGAAGAGAAAGAGTGTAAGTTCAGCTTTCGTCTGTAATGAGTGAGCAGAGGCAGGAGGAAGCACTCACCATCAGTTCATCGTACTGATTTTCAATCTGATTCATGAGGACTTCAAAAAACTTCACTTCATCGCCAGATACTTGAGCCCTCAAGGCTTGGCAGCCTTCGACTTCGGAGTGAAACTTTTCAATCTCCTTGTGAATCAGCTCAAAGCGCTTTGTTGCATCGGCAATGGCTGGTAATAGTGGGGAAAATTAGATTATACAAAGTCATGGAAGGACGGCAAAGCTCACGATACAGGATAACAAAGTTTAGGTCAAGATTTCGGTGCATCACGTTTCAAAGTGGTAGATTCTAAGATCCACCACCTTTGTATTCTGATCATGTATTTGTCTTGAAAGGAAAAGTAGGATACACTGAGGAGGAAGTTGCAATACATTTTCGTGCCATAGTAAGATGTTGCCTCTGCAATGCCTCTTATTTTTAGTCTCCTTCTGTAGGAAGGGATTTCTTACTAGCAATAAGGAAAAAAAATAATGAAGCATGTGACAAACGTTTGCTGTGATAATAAAAGCACGGGAAAGTTACTTTCTTAATGAGATTCAGAGCATTCCCATAATATTGGCACGAGCCCACCACACTTACCATGGAAACACAAAATGGATGCACAGCATAAAATTACACAAAAATGTCCGCTTCGGCCTTGGGGGGTGTGGTGGCGGTTTTTATGCGTGACAAAATGTTACTTTGTGCAGAGTGATCTATCCGAAAGACAGTAACTTTTAGGAAAGACAACGCTAGCATTCGTCCCACGGAATAAAAGCTAAACAGCTGCTTCAAACTGTTTCCATCTTCTTTGGAAGTAGAATCGAAGATACTGCAAGCCGAAGGAATCTCAATGGAATTCTAGTAACCGTGAGGTAAACGGACGCTCCAGACAAACCTTCCAAAGTGGGGGAAAAGCATTTAAAGTGTCAGAACTTCTGATTTCAAGTTAGCATGACCGTGTAAAGAAGGGAAATTGAAGCAGCATTCGGGTGTTTTGTTTTTGTTTCTGAACAACCACTCAAAAAGACAATGAATTGTTGACTGGGAAGTGGTCAATTTGAACCTAATATGTGCAAGGAGGTACTGTGACTGTTTATTTGCGATCTCATTGGATCTATGGGTAAAATCTTCTTCCTAGTGTAGCAATTTGGGCTTCAATACTCAGCTGTTGTCAACAAAAAAAGGGCTAAACTCGGTCCACTTTGCCCGAAAAGCTCTTCACACCACTTCCACCATAGGCTATATTACTCTTCGGGGAAAAAGAAATGGATTATTCCTCTCCTTTTCTTTGACCATCTTTTCACTTTTATTTGCGATCTTAACATAAAGTTTAAAAACAAGGTCTAGCTCTGCGTTAGAACACTGGCCAATATGCGGGAGGTGTCTTAAATGAATCACTTCCGATGTATTTCGACACAATGTGATTCAGCACACTTTTTCACTTTACTTTGCTCATTTCTTCGATCATAGAATCTACCACTCACCGTAAAAGTACATTATGAAAGAATGACTCCATTTCCAGCATTTAAAACAGCTCCTCTATGCCTATGACACCCAGCGCTTCTGGATCAAAATCTGAGACACTAATAATCTTGAGCATCAAATGCAGTTTTTTTCAACATTACTACCCAACTTAATGCGTTCAAAAGTAAAGCTGTGGCACCAATATGACATGGAAACGCAAGGCAGCAGTGTGGAAAGCTGCTTAAGCTCGGGAACCACGAGCTGCTTGTGCTTACACTTCCGATTATCACCAAAAGGTGCGTTTTCAATGGCTTCTTTGCGCTCCTGCATCCAATCCTGAGCGGTCTGTAAAGCGCCGAAGTGTTTGCTTTGTTTTGCCAGCCACCTCAGACTATTGCTGCTGCGACCATCAGGAATGGCCATCCAGCTATCACCGTTGGCTCGCAAGGCCTGAATCCGGTCGCCTGATTGGTTCATCGAGGTGACCTTGAGGAAGTTTCGACAGCGTCGTTGCAATTCGAGGAGGCGTTGATGCAATGTACACACTCTGAAAGAAAAAAGCACGCCATTTGCATAGGTGAGAATTTTACAAGATTAAAAATGACTTAGGTGCCACGCTAAAAAGTAGAAGCCAGGTTTTAAGGGTAATACATGGCAATGTATCAACGCTTGTATATTAAAATCAGAAGTTCTTGCACTTTCCTCGTTACTATTACGATTTGAATTAACCAAGCCAGTACTTCAATAGTCTTGTGTTTTTACATGTGCTGGTAGAAAAAAGCATTTGTCATTCATTTGAGACCCAATGAATACTCCTGGGTTGCGCAAATGAAGTAAAAAGTGATGTTTGTAAGACTTTGATACCCATAAAGAAGTGGGATTAAATTGTGTTTGCTTCTAAACCTAGAAGACTAGATATACGTAGAGAAGCAAAGTTACGGCCTTAGTAAAGAGAGCGTACTTTCGGTAGACCTGTTCCGTTCTGATGTAGCGTCCGTTGCGAAGAATTTGAACTTGACCAAAGAGATTATTTACACCGGTTTCGACCACTTCCATCTGTGCCATCCACCGTTTTAACTCACCGTCGATGTCAATCGACTGCGACGATGCAAATTGGGATTCCATCTGATAAAGGGGGCAATGAATAAGCGTGTGTAAGCTACGTGCATGATAGGATCAGCTTTGCCTAGTTTTCTAGTCCATGTAGTCATTGCACTGCAGTTTAAATTGTTTACCACTCCGGTAGTAATTAACCAGTGTGTGAATGGGATATGAAATGTATTAGAATGTTTTCATAGATTCAAATTTACTTATAGAAATAGCCTTGGTGGATTCATGTGATTACATGCCATCTGGGAAACAAACGATTCAATCTAGAGTGGAAATTCTTCCAGGTAACTGCAAGTGCTCAATAGAATTTTGTGTACCACAACTTCCCTGCATTGCAGAACTCACTTCGAAAAATGTACTAAAAGTATACTTTTAAGCTCATCGCTGAAAGAAAATCAGATAACAGACGACCATTTAATACGACATTTCCCGGTGTAATTCTCCTAACTCGAAGATTTTTTTCAGGTAAACTTGAATGAATTTATGCGGTATGTTATCCCACTGGATCATAAAACAACAGTCGAAGTGGAGCCCTTGAAATTTGTTTTCGGCGTCATTTATCCCATCTCACGCAAAAGTTAGTGGAAGGATTGGTCATGAGCTTCCATAAATTCCTCCTAAAGTTCGTTTCGTCTAACTGCGATTTCGCACATACTCGATGACGTATACACCAGTTGACACTTTCCGTAAAGACGCTAGTAATGTCGACCAGGCTCCTCCAAACCCCCTTCTTCTTGATTGGCTCAATGCAGTGTGCTACTTTGAAAGTTACTCGAACGTAAACGGATTTGGAGCATGATTTGCTTTATCCTTCGGAATTCCTAGTTCGCGATTTTTGGGTGGAGATTTCAGACGTGAAATTAATGTTTTAACGATAAATGCGGAAGAAGGGGATTTTAAGGGTGCCCCACAGGCAGCTCATTTACACATTGCGTAAATGCAAAGTTGGGTGAATTAGTGTAAAACGACTCCAAAAAGCTAGTGGCGTTCACATTATAATAGTGCTGTCTGGATTAATTGCGCTTCTGTATTTAATTATTCATCAGACATGAACGAAAATGCAAAATAAATGAAAGTGACATTTGGAAGCACGCATTTGTGTCTAACAGTTACCAGAAAGCGTTATAAGTTGATGACTTTCGACGGTTCTACCGATATTTACTTTGAAGTTCCAAAACAACCAGAAGGAAGGGGAGGAATTACTACCACCGGAACAAAACATACAGTGCTTCCCCAATAAGCATTTCATTTAAATTTGTCACTAGCCCTCCATATAGCCCTCCAACACCTGCCACCTCACAAAAGACACGGTATGCGGACTCATGCAACAATTGGGACATGCGTCCTTATATCGAGTGCATTACCCTCGTTCCTCTCGCCTTGGCCAAGTAACACTCCCAGCTACTGTCACAATCATCGATGTGAGGTGTAGAACTTAGAACGGACTGCAGGTTACAATAACATAACATACCAGATGTCATGACGAGGCAACCTCACGCATTTCGCCACATGGGTTTTCACCCTACTAGTTCATAGTTATCTGGTGTAATCTGTGAGTTTTGTCATTTTTTCGAATCATCGTGGTGGAGACACCACAGTGAGTCCGGAAACTCTCCTTAACTTTACCTGTGACAAACTGAAGAGTGGAAAAAGAGGCAAGTGAGGGGCGAGTGAATTGCAAATGTATGTAAAAGTGGATGTGAGTGGGCATGAGGGAGTTTGCATTGAGATGAGGAGAGGTTCACCTTTAGAATAAATGAGTCGACTTATGTCAAGTTGCGCCCCACCAATGCGATGGGTCAGTTATCAGCAAAAGACCGTTGAAAAGAAGTAGTAACCTAAGTGGACTGTATAGCCAAATGTATTTCGTAGCAGGGCAAAACTTCGGCATATGGCTTGCGAAGAATTATGACTTGTATCCCACTTAAATCTTGGTGTTACTGCTACGCCATCAACCTTTCCCACATTTGATATTAATCGAATCTGTCAATCTGGTAGATAGTGAAAACAGAGGAAAAATTAGTCCACATTTAAGAGGGCATACCTCATTTATGCGTTTTTCCAAAGCGGCTTCTTGTGTTTGAAGAACCCCGCATTCCCGTTCTATCCTTTCACCGGCCAATTGAAGACGCTCCAAGCGTGAAGTCTCCGCTGCCACAGCCATTTCACGTTTCTGTAAAGCCAGCTCGTACTCCTTCCACAGTCGGAAGATGTGTTCAATATTCATGAAAGGGTCAATCCTCAGCAAATTCGCACTTGCCGCACTCTAAAATTTGGAAGACACAATAGCAGTTTAAGCATCCCAACGCCACTTTTTGCAACTCTTTTCTTACTGATTGGTTGAGTGGCTAGCCGAGAAAGTAGGTTGCTCACATAGTGGAAGAAAAACGCTTAGGACTACCCAAATTAAGTGCGACATTCAGTCGGAATACTGAATGAATTTAGAAGGAGAGGAATTTCTTTAATTTAGTCCACTGAAGTTGCCCGATCTTCAGATTGGTGTAAAAGGCACAGTTTTTCTCCAACGCATATTTTATCGGAACGAAGTAATAGTTCGGTTTCTTTTCAATGTTAGAGTGAGGGCAAGTCGTTTCACACTTAGGATATAAACATTTTAGAACGGACTACCAGGTGATTAAAGTTAGAATAATGAACGTTTATACACGA